ATCTGGTCCCCGTCAGCACAGTGGGCAGAGGGAGGGGCCTGAGGGGTGTGTTTGGCCCGCAGAGGACAGAGTTGTCTGTGTGTGGTGTGGGGGTGGCGGGGATGGGCTCATCACTGCTCAGGGCCAGTGACTGTCCTTCCAACTCGGGATCACTGGGCCCCACCCATGGGGCCATTGTACAGATGGGGAAACTGAGGCCCAGAGGAACCAGGACCTGCCGGGGTGGGTTGCAAGAGCAGCAGAACTCTCCGGCCTCCCCCTTGGCCGCTGCTTCCCATCTTTCAAGGCCTGGGGCTGTGCCTCCGGGAAGCAGGCCACATCCTGTTGGTGGCAGAGCAGCCCTGCTGGGAAGTCCTCCCTGGAGTCAGACTTTCACCCAAGGCTCCAGGAGCGTGGGATGGTGCACAAATTCCTCTCCTTCTCCCAGGTCCTCGTGGCTGCCTCGTGCCGCCTGTAGCCAGAGAGGCTGGGCAACTCCTCCCACCCCTCCTGGGGCCTCGGTCCCCTCATCTAAGCAGCTGGGCAGGGACTGGGGGCTCTGCGTCGGGTTCATGTTTATGTGCACCCAGCACGGCGCGGTGAGTGCACATCCGTGTGGGTACACGCGTGTGCCCTGGTGGGTGAGCTGCCGCCCACGGGCCTGCCCCCGCCCAAATGGGGTCCCCGGGACCTGCTGCACAGCCACATTTGACCTACTTCTAGGGCTCTGGGTCTGGCCCAGGCCGCGTTCTTGACTCCTCCGGGAAGTTTGGGCCCGCGGCCCAGCCCAGGGGCCGCGGGCCAGGAGAGGCGGTCCTGGGCGGGCCGGGGCGGCCTGCGGAGCCTGCGGCCTGGGGGACAGGGCACGTGGGGAGCCCGACCCTCCTTCGCTGCCTCTGGTTCCTGGGCCCCGGGGACAGCCAGGCCTTACCCATCCCTCCCTCTCCCCACTCTGCACTGCTCCCTGCATGTGGCCACCATATTCTGAGCTCACTAATGGGCTGTGACAGGATGAGGGACATTCCTCAAGCCCCTCTGAACACTGGTGGGAAGGTCTGCCAAGCTCTCCCCTTCTGCTGTTCGCCAGGAGTTGACCCCTCCCTAGCCCTGCCCTTGTCTACACCGGGCAGCAGGCAGGGCCCATCTGGAAAACCAGTGGCTCCTTTCGTGGGTCTGGGTTCTGGGGTCTAGGTTTGGGTTTACAGGTTTAGAGTCTGGGTTTCGAGTACCTGGGTCCTGGGTATTGAGTCTTAGATCTTGACTCTGGCTTCAGAGTCTTGAGTCCTTGGCCTGGGCTCTGGGGTCTGGGTGGCAGGTCTGGGTTGGACACCCTGGGTTTTGGGGTCTGGGTCCTCAGAGTAGGGTCTGATTGTGGGCTCAGGGTTTCAGGATCTATGTTTGGTCAGATCCTGAGGCCTGAGTCTGGGGTCTGGGTTTGGCGTTCTAGGCTCCAGATTTGGAGTCGTGGGGTCTGAGTTGGGATCCTGGGTTCCGGGGTTTGGGCTCAGGATCCAAAGACCAGTTCCTGTCCCTTCTACGCCCCCTGCTGGCTGGTCATCACGGTCAGGTCACTGCCTGTACCTTCCGACCATCCCCACAGCTTCAGGCTCTTGAGGGGAGTCTCAGAATGGATGGGAGTGTCGTGAAGAGCAGGCCTGAGCTGAGGGGGTGGCAGGTGGGTTGAGGGGCAGCTGCTGGCTGCACTGCTGTTCGGGGCGCTCCCAGCAGACACCAGAACTGTCGCTCCATCAGCAAATCTCCCCTGGCCCTACTCCAGGGATGGGGTGTGGCCAAGGGTTCCAGTCTTCCTGTGAGAGGTCGGTAAATTGAGATGTTTGGGACATTGGCTCATCCAACATTTATGGAGTGTCTACTGTGTACGGCAGGCTCTGTTCTAGACCCTGTGGATATACAGCCCTGGAAGACCAAAGATTCTTCCTGTGCCAACTGACATTCAAGGGAAGGGGCACCCATAAGAAACAGGGAACAGCCTCTTATTAGGATGCAAGAATGGAGGGTCAGGGTGAGAGAAAAAGCAGGTGGAGCTGGCCCAGAGTAGTCTGAAGAGGCTGCTAAGTGGAGGTGATATCTCACTGGACCTGCAGGTGACAAGGAGCAAGCCATGGCTAGGGTCCTAAACAAGGATGCCAGGAGGAGGAAAGAGCAAAGCCGTGGGGGCTGGAAAGAACTAGGAAGGAGGGCAGTGCGGGTCTCCTGGCTCTCTCCGTGGACCCTTCAGAAGTCGGGGTCCGCGTGTTCCTCAGCTGCAGGGCTGGGGTGGGGGAAAGTAAGGTCTCTGCCCCCAGAGAGGGCTCTGGAATGTGCCGTCTGCATTGGATGGGCTACAGCTCAGACACTGGAGCTGGGGGAGTCAAAGGAGAGGGATCCAGACTCCCCCTCTTCCCGCAGGCTCTGCCAGGGTCTTGTCTGCTGGGCTGTCATTCCTGAAGGGCATGGCACCCAGGCTGGGGCTTGGGAGAGAGACGTGAGCGCCCAGCCTCGTGTGGCTTGTCTTTTCTCTCCGTACCTGTCTCTCCCTGTCACAAAGCCCCCGCCCCTGCTCACCTACCTGCCCACCGCCCACCTGCCCGCCCCGCTTTCCTCCTGTCCTCCACAGTCCATCTTGCTGGAAGCCAAGGGGGCTGATCCCTGCAGAATCCCTGCTGGGGGCTGGGCATTAGTAATGGGTTGAGAGTGGCCCTGTTGGGAGAGTCTGGGCACCGCTGCTCCCAGGAACCAGAGCTCCGACAGTCAAAGGCCCGGGTCCGACCTCCATCTGCGTCCTGGGGAGGGAGTGGAGGATGGCTCTCCACATGATCTCCCCACTGCAGGACTGTATCTGCTCTGTGCTTGAGGGAAGGGGACCAAGACCCCCCTTCCCCGACCCCGCCACCAGGCAGAGGAAGGCGGTTCTCTGTGGCTCTGGTGGGCTGCCTGAGTCTGTGCACCCCATCACAGACCTGGGACCGAAGCCTCAAGGAGGCTCATGTCGCTCATTTACTCCCGTGCTCGCTGGCGTTGAGTGGTTTCTGGGGGATGGCAGTTGTGCACGGATGGATCAATGAGCTTGGGGGTCTGGGCTCCCCTGTGTATGTCCGCCATGTTTCCCCCACGATGCATGAAAGGGGGTTGGGTAGGGTCTTGTTGGCTGTGCCTGTGGGTGGCTGGAGCCCCCACAGGACGTCCAGAGTCAGTTGTCCTGAGGTCAGCAGGGAGATCTCTGTCTGTGTGTCCCCCCGTCTGTCTCCTCCTCTGTGGTATTTCTGACTGGTCTCTGAGGACCCTCCCCCACCCCTTTCTTTCTCAATACTCTTGCCAAACATCTGGAAGAAAAGTGAAAAACTTGCCTCTCCCCCAGCGCCGGATGTTGTCAGATTTCCAGATGTGGGGTGTTCTGCCCTCCAGATGAGGGGAGGACTGTCCTGTGTTCCAGCAAGGAGGGGACCTGGCCCCACCCCTGGACTGCCTTCCCCCCCTCACCAGGAGCCTGAGTGACGGGATGAGAGGGGACCTGGGCTCCGCAGGAAGACCTGGGGGCACCCAGGTAGAGTGAAGCCTCCCCTCCAGCTCCACCCTCAGCTCTTCCCTACACCCGGGAAATCCCCAGGGGCCTCGGGGGGTGGAGCAATGCCTCTGAAGTTTCTATCAAAGGCTCTAGGCATTTAAAAATAACAGGGAACACCTCCTTCCCGCCTCCCCACCCCCTCCACCGCCCCAGCACAGACTCCGGGCAAGGAACGGAGCCCAATGTGTTTGCAAGATGTCCCAGCGCTCCGAGCTCTGTGCCTGGAAGGGCTTTCTGCCACCTCCGCCCTCCCATCTCCCCCAAGGGTCACCCAGCCAGGCTGCCCAATGTCACCGCCATCCGCTGAGGGCTAGCACTTCAACGTAGTACTAGGGGGTAGGACAAGGTGGGACACCCCTCGCAGGCCCTTGGGGTCCTTCAGAGACACAGACCCTCTCAGGGCCCCAGCTAAAAGGTTGGCAGAGGGCAGTCTGGGGCGGTGGGACCGGGAGGGTGCAGTGGGGCCATGCCTTGACTGTGCCAATCAGAGGAGGGGCGAAACAGAGGGTATACGGTGTGTGAACAAGGGTCTGGTGGGGAGCAGGCCCTGAGGTGTGTGGGGAAAGGGGGTCATTGAAGAGGGGCTGTAGGAAGCGAGGGAGAAACCAAGATGCTGACCTCAGGGCCAGGCAGGTGCCGAGGCACAAGGTGGTGGATGTTGTTGGGCTGCTGAACCGGGCTGGGTGACGGCCCTCGAGGGAGCAGACCCCATTTTATTGGCATTTAGGGTATTCCCAGAGACAGGGGCCGCAGCTGCCAGCAAGCCAGACGCTCACACAGACACAATAAACACCCAACCCAAACACACAGAAGCAACGCTCACGGACCAGAATGGGCCCGACAGAGACACGGACCCTCCTACCAGAGATCCGCAGAGACCCTCCCCGCTGCATGCAAACACCCAGACAAACAGACAACGCACATGGACAGACGCGGCCCTCCCTCTCCGCCTCCGTGTAGACACAGGGACTTCGAGGTGCAGATGGGAAGTGTAACCCAAGGGGTGCCCTTAGGTAATTCCCGTCCTTCGGCCCCCAGCACAACAGCCAACATGCCCTGGGTCCATCCTTCCACACCTGTTCAGTTTATTGACCTCCCGAGGGACAGCAGGCCCTTATGTGTGTGTGCGTGTGTATGCTTTTTGGGGTATGCATGCGGGCTGAGCAGTGGCCTCTGTCTGCCCCTCCCCCTTCTCTCCTCAACAGGTGACTGGGAGGCCTGGAGAGCCCTCCCTCTCCCCCACCCATTCCTGAGCTTGAACAATGCCCTCCCCAGGCCCCAAAATAGCCCCTGAGTCTATCCAGTGTCCTTTTATGGCCCTGTCCGCATTGTGCCCTGCAGGGGTGGGGCCGGGGTCATGAGGTGTCCAGGCGTGATAAAGGCCGGTTGCAGGAGGCTCACCTACCCTGCTCTCGGCTTCCTCCTCTCCACCCCTGCCTCTGTGCTCACAGGCTCCATGGCTCCCAAAAAGCCAGATCCCAAGAAGGATGAGGCCAAGGCAGGTGCTAAAGCAGCTGCAGCTCCAGCTCCCGCACCTGCACCTGCACCTGAGCCCTCCAAGGAAGCTGAGTTTGATCCCTCCAAAGTCAAGGTGGGTGTGGAGGCTGTGTTTTAGGTAGGAAGGGAAGGGTAGGTAAGTGAATCCCAGAGTGGACCTACCCAGTGGAAGAGTGGGCTCCAGAGAAAGTGAGTACTGAGCTCTAGTTGGAAGCTTCAGCATCAGGAGGGCTGCAGCAGGAGAGACGGTGGTCAGACAGCAGGCAGGACTGCTCCAGTGTTGCTGAAGGGGCTGTCTTTTTGGTGGTTGGAAACTGACTCTCCCCAGTCCTTCTCCTTGGACCTCACATCCTTGGGGAATCCTGGGCCCGCCAGTGTCCCCCACCCCCGCAGCCAGGCAGGGACTTTTCTTGTCGCACTGTGGGGTTTTAAGTCCATGCCAAGTCCCCCAGGGGAAGACGGGGTGGGGAGCAAAGAGAAGCCAGGCTCCTGCCCAGGCTGGGTCACAGTCACCCCCGCCAAGGTCCCTGAGCCCCAGAGCTGGTGGGGCCTCCGCTTTGAGGTGGCGACGCTGAGCCATAGTCTGGGTAGGTCATGGAGAAAGTTGGTCATGGAGCTGTGACCAGTGGCCCCAGGAGCCCTTCCCCAGATTGGCTCGGAAGTCTTTCTCAGAGTCTAAACTTGGAGAATGTGCCGTGACTGCCACCTGTGGCATCCACATAGTGGCACGCACCCTGCGTCCCGCCTGCGTCTGTTCTTGGCTGGCCACCGGCCACTGCTGCCCTGGCTGTTGGCAAAGGGGCCCCGTGGAGCCGTCCCAGCTCTTCAAGGTCCCCAGCAAGACTGCAGCTGGTCCTCACAGATCCACCTCCGCTTCCCAGATGGCGCCAGTGGTAAAGAACCTGCCTGCCAATGCAGGAGACACAAGAGACTCAGATTCGATCCCTGGGTCAGGAAGATCCCCTGGAGGAGGGCATGGCGACCCACTCCAGTATTTTTGTCTGGAGAATCCCATGGACAGAGGAGCCTGGTGGGCAGTCCACGAGGTTGCACAGAGTCGAACACGACTGAAGTGACTTAACGCAGCACACAGGTTCAAATCCTAAATCTGTTCCACTGCCGTCTCTGCTCTAAGGCTTGGTTTCTTCAGCTGTGAAATGGGATAATAAGCCCTCCTCACAGGTGTTGGGAACCATTCACAGCAAGTGCTCCCTGGAGTCGGCCCCCACACCGACCACCCTCAGACCCCAAGTGTGTATTCCACAGGCAGAGGGTTGGACAATCCCGGGGCCCGGGGTGGCTTTGTGTGTTCTTCCTGGATCTGAGGTTGCAGATTCGCCCCTGAGCAGAGGAACTCAGGAGGTCTCTCCTGGGAACCCTGCAGAAAGCCATGTCAGGAGCTCAGGGCACCTAATCTCGGCGTGCTTCCTGGTGGAGGGAGCTCTCGGGTGGCCAGAAACAACTTGGTCGGGTCTTCCCAACACAAGGTTGAGCGGGAGGGCTGGGAGGGGCAGCCTGGCAGGGTGGCTGGGGCAGGATTCTGCTCTGCACTGGGGTGCACCGAGGTGGGGGCTCCAAGGGAGCCGCAGTGGGCGAGGTGCCAGTCAAGTCCCCCTCCCCCAGCCTCCTTTCCCTGGTGCGCCCTTGACCTTGGGCTGAGTGACTGCGGTGATAAAAATAGACCTGGTATCGAGTGAGGAGGGGGAAACCGGGTCCCAGGAGGCCTCCTGACCTCAGGTGCCCCTGCCATGGTCTTGCAAACACTCAACAGCTCAGGGCCTGGCTGCCTGCTGTGCCATGCTGGGGGCTGCCCTGGGCTTGCAGATGGGGGTGTGTGAGACTCAGGTGTAGGCAGGGCCAGGTGAGTGACAGTGCCCAGCCTTACACACGCAGACAGGTGCACACACAGGTGTGTGAATGCACATGTTCATCACACACACCCCTCCTGTAGATGAGCTCTTATGTTGCAGGGCTCTCTGGCCTGTACCCTCAGCCCAACCTCTCCTGGCACCTGCCACCCCCTCCCAGTGAGATGAGGCGCCCCCATCTCACATAGACAGACTTGCCCACTGGGCCCCAGGCCCAGCAGAGCTGGCAAAGCCAGTGCAGTTAGATCTTGTTGCTTTAGGCATGTCTGTCCAGGACTGGGGGTCTCAGGTAAGGCCTACCCTGGGTTGGAGATTCAGGGCACAAGGCTTCCCTCTGCATCACTTCCCCAGATGAGGCCTAACTGGTGTCAGGTCTGGGTACGCACAGACCCAAGGCCGTCAGGTAGGATAGGTGAGGAGGGGTAAGGAGGTGGGGGGTGGGAGTCAAGGTGGACGGCAGGAGGTCCTGGGCGGTGGAAGCTGGGATCCTGAATTGCGGACAGGTTGGGGCAACCGAGGGGTTGAGGTCCAGCTGGCCACGGAGTGGAGTGACCAGGAGGAGACCTGGCCCCATCCTCTGAACCCGGCACTCAGAATTTGGGGGGTCTCCTTTCAGATCGAGTTCACTCCAGAGCAGATTGAAGGTGAGTGGTTGGGGGGGGGTGCGTCTTGAGCCCTGGCGCTGCGGGGCTGGGTCCAGGGTCCCCAGGCTGAGAGTCCTGCTGGCAGTGTGGGTTCTGGGTGGAGTGGGGTGGGCTGCCTCTGGAAGTGTCCACAGCTCACGCCCCCTCCTGGCAGAGTTCAAGGAAGCCTTCATGCTGTTCGATCGCACGCCCAAGTGCGAGATGAAGATCACGTACGGGCAGTGTGGGGACGTGCTGCGGGCGCTGGGCCAGAATCCGACACAGGCTGAGGTGCTCCGTGTCCTGGGGAAGCCAAAGCAGGAAGGTGGGTGCGCTCAGCCTGAGATGTCCCCATTAGTGCCAGTCCCTGGGGGAGAACTCCATCGCTGGGTGGGGCGGGGGGACAGCATGGGAGTCTCCCTGCTGTGCACTCCTCTGACACCCTCCCGTTCTCTGGAGGAGGACCTGGAGCCCAGCCTCAGGGGATGCTCACAAGCAGCGATGGCTCCTGTATCACCTGGCCGCATGCCGATTAGCCAGGCTTCCTGATCATAAGGGACTGACAACAGCGCAAACCAGCTCCAGTGGAGGTGTGAGACCTGGCTTGGGTCTCCCACCTGCTCGCCCTGTCCTTCCTGGCCCCCTGGGCATCCCTCAGGGGGGCAGGGCCAGCTGCCCTCACCGCCTTGGGCAGAGATGGTTGCCCACTCTGCCCCAAGGAAGACTGAGACCCAAGCCCCCGCTGCAGGGACAGAAGCCCCAGAGAAGGTCTCTGACCTGCCCAGCTGCTCTTGACCCACCCCAGGTGGCAGGGAGAGTGGAGTCTGTAAGAAAAATAACGAGGTGCTAGGAAGAACTGATCCCCCAAAGGAGAACAGAGGGGCTAGACACCCACGGTGGTGCCGCTGTCCGTATGAACCGCAGAGGACCATGTCAGTCATGCATTTCTTAGCTGACTCAAGTGCCTGGTGCCGGGGGAGCGCTTGGTAAATGGCAAACTGGTGTAGAGTGCGCTGGGGAGCTGGGCGAAGGCAACAGGTCCTCATTGTCAGACTTGGCGAGGGGCTGCCCGCTCGCCCCTCAGAGCCAGGTGCTCGGCCATCTCTCCACAGAGCTCAACTCCAAGATGATGGACTTTGACACGTTCCTGCCCATGCTCCAGCACATCTCCAAGAACAAGGACACTGGCACCTATGAGGACTTCGTGGAGGGGCTGCGGGTCTTCGACAAGGAGGGCAATGGCACGGTCATGGGCGCTGAGCTCCGCCACGTGCTGGCCACGCTGGGTGAGGGCGGCCACCTCCCCACTCCCAGCCTGCCTGCTGGGGACATCTGGGAGAAAGCACGCTGTCCCCCGCCTAGTTCTCCCTTGCGAAGTGGAGGGTGATGCCATCAAGGTGCCTCCACGGCAGGAGACCTAGCAAATCTATGTGGGGAATTTAGAAATTTAGATGCGGGATAAAGAAAGCCAGTGGGTGCAGCTCACAGAGCTGGAAGGGCTCTGGGGATGGGGAGGGGCAGGGTGGCACACCCAAGGAGGGTCAATCAATCCAGTCCTGGTGTTTGTTGCCTCAAGGCCAAATTCCAGAGCAGAGAAGGTACTGTGCCTGCCTCTTGGGCATCCTGACTCCCACCGTCAGGGGCCTGGCTGGCAGGAATGTCCCCTTTTCAAAGAGCATTTTTCCTACAGCAAATATTCATTGAGCTCATATTCTGTCTGCTCACAGCGATCCTTCCTGCGTCAAATATTTATTGAGTGCCTAGTGTGTGATCAGCGCTGTGCTGAGGTTGTGTGTGTGTGTGTGTTTGTGGCTGGGGCAGATAGGATGTGTGAGGGAAACAGCAGTGGGCGTTCCAGTGGGGGGACCGGCACAGCACACAGAAGCACAGAGTCAGGAAAGGGAAGGGCCAGCCTTGTCTGGGGAGCACTGGTGGTGTCTCTAGGTCTCCTCCATGGTCATCCCCAAGGTCCCCAGCTCTATCCTGCGCATCTTTCCTGGTCTCCTCAATGGAGGGAGACCTGCCAGCCTATTGAGCACAGGGGGCAGCCTGTGCCCGTGACCTGAACACCAAGATGGCACTGTTATGGATGGAGTCTAGGCTCAGAGCGGGCACCAGGTTTGCACCCCAGGCTTTGTTCATTTTGACTTGTCACTGATTCTCCTGGTTTCAGAACTGAGGGGTGACAGCCCAGGCTTTGGGGTGTACCAATTTGAGGCATGGGGCATACTGGAGAGGCACCCTCACCATCCAGAGGCAGTCGGGGGGTCCCCCAACCCTTCACACCTCGACAGTGCTGACTCAGCTTTCCACTCCCGCCAGGTGAGAGGCTGACGGAAGACGAGGTGGAGAAGCTGATGGCGGGGCAGGAAGACTCCAATGGCTGCATCAACTATGAAGGTAGACTCAGCAGGCAGGGAGTCTGCTGGGGGGAGGCGCTGGGGTCCTAGGGCCCCTCCCTTGGCTATCCAGGGCCGAACCCTGCGGCTCACTCTGTCCTTCTTTCCAGCGTTTGTCAAGCACATCATGGCCAGCTGAACCTCTCGCCCCAGGTGAGACCCCCCTACTCCCTTCCAAACCTGTGACCACCTTTGCCACCTCTGCTGATGTCGGTCCTGTGGTTCGCCCCTCCCACCTCTTTCATCCAGCTTCCCTGTTGCCCCCTCCCCAGCCCCAGCAACGCCAGTCCTCAGCTGACATCCTGCTGCCTGGCTGCCCTCTCCGCTGTAACCTGTGACCACCTTTGTTCTCAGGGAGCCCCGGGGGAGGCGGCGCTGGGGGCAGCTCGTCTTCTATTTGTGATGCGGACACCAGAGGCTTGGAGTTGCGAAGGGCCAGAGGGGAGCACATGGCTCTCTCTGCACAACCCTGCAGACCGGCCGTCATCACTGCCATCAGGCTACGTCGGCCAGTGACTGCATCACTGTCTCCGCTCCTTGGGCCTCATGAATAAATGGCTTCTTTACTTCCTCCTCCTACCTTCCTTGCTTCCTTCTTCCTTTCTTTCTCTCCTTCCTTCCTTCTTTTTCCCTTTTTTTCCCTGGCAGTGCTGGGACTTCATGGCAGCACATGGTTAGTTGCCCCACAGCATGTGGGATCTTAGTTCCCTGACCAGGGATCGAACCCGCGTCCTTGCATTAGAAGGCAGACTCTTAAATCAAAGAACCACCAGGGAAGTCCCCACCCTCCCCCTCCTGACTTCGTTCTTCTCTGTGGCCCTTTGGTTGACTTTTGTAAAAATCTACAAGCCACACAGGGTGAGCTCTGGACAAAACAGGGGGAAATCATTTCAAAGTCTTGCCTCCTGGCTTGTCCCATTGAAACGGTGCCATCTGGTGTGCCAAACCCTCAGCGCCTGCCCACCAGGACGCCAGGCTAAGCTGGATGAGGACTGCCTCCCCTCCACCCCCCACTTCTGGAGATGGCAGCCATGCCTGGCCTCTAACACGAGGATGCCCCAGCAGCTTGAGAGCCCTGTCCAGGCTAAATAACCTCACGACCAGCCATCAGGGAACTGCGGGGTGCTGGGCCAGAGCCACCCTGTCACAGGTGGGGAAACCAAGGCCCCGAGCAGAGAATGGCTTTGCCTGAGTCACACCGGGAACGGGTGGTGGGGGAGGAGCCAATATTGTCCCCAGGCTGTCACGGTCGAGGAGGCCTTAGACCACCCCCTGACATGGATGGGCAGTTGAGGTTCTCTGCTTGTGGTGTGATTCTCGGCCAGAGGGGCAGCAGCCGGGGACCACCAGTGGTTCCTTAGCCCTGGGCATCTCAGCAGAAGACAAGTACGCAACCCCTGTAATGACAACAGGGGGTGTATACGCCCCCCACCAGTGCCAGACCCACTGCCACCCCCTGTCCTGGGGTGAGGCCCTCCCCTCCTTTCAGAGCCCAGTGAGATGGGTGACGGGAGGCTTCCTGGAGGAGGTGATCTACTCTGACTTGATGGGGTAGAAGAGCAGTGCACTGCAGGGAGGTTTGGGGGGCCCTAGAGATAAGAGGTGTGGGGGACATCAAGGGCCCAGAGTGGGGAGGGCGGGTCACACAGGGCAGGAAACAGCCTGCAGGCCAGGAGGACTCAGGAGGTCAGGGCAGTCCCCCTAGGGTGCAGGTGGACGTGAGCGCGCCTGCCTGTGAGGTGAGTGTGAGGGCGTGTGAGAGCGGGTGAGAGGGCTTGCACGGATCAGGCTGCCTGGGGAGATTGGTGTGGTATGGGGAGAATGGCAGGATTCTGCATGCGAGAGTGTGTGTATGCGGGCGTGTGTGGCGAGTGTTGGCAGTATGTGTGAAAGTCTGTGAGGGGCTGTGAGTGTGTGTGTAGGAGTCTGTTTCGCCTTCCCTTCATCCTTTCAGCATTTACTGAGCACCTACTGTATGCCTTTAGGCCCTGGGAACACTGCGGTTGGAGGAAGCAGTCAAACCCTCCACCTTGTTGGCGCTCATACAAACCTGACAAATCACCAAGCCATAAAGTGTATCAGCCAGTGATCGAGGCTGGGCAGGGACCCAAAGCAGGGAAGAGGCTGTGCGGTGTGTGTGCTCAGGGTGTGCATGTGAGTGTCTGTGTTGGGAGGAGGTTGGCCTGTTAAACAATCAGATCAGGGATTATCTGAGAAGGCAATGGTTGGGCAAAGACTGAAAAGAGAAGAGTAAATATCCTGAATATATAAAGGATTTCTACAATTCAGTAACAACAAAATGAACAAGCCAATTCAAACATGGGCAAAGAGCTTGAATAGACATTTCTTTAAATGAGATTGGATGCTTTTAGGGTGATATAGCCATAGAACCGAACAGACGTTTCTTTGAAGAAGATATACAAATGGACAGTAAGCGCGTGAAAAGATGCTCAACATCACTGATTAGGGAAATGCAAATCAAAACCATGATGAGATACAACCTCACACCCGTTAGGATGGTTATTATCCAGAAAACAGAAAGTAACAAGTGTTGGCAAGAAGGGAGAGAAATTGGAATCCTTGGGCACTCTGGGTGGGAATATAAAATGGTGCAGCTGCTGTGGAAAAAATATGCAGTCTTCAAAAAATTAAAAACATGATTACCATATGACCCAGAAATTCCACTTCTGGGTATATAGCCAAAAGAATTGAAAGCAGGGACTTGAAGAGGTATTTGTAAACTCCTGTTCACAGCAGCACTATTCACAATAGCTGAAAGGTGGAAACAACCCCAGTGGCCATCAACGGATGAATGCATAAACAAAGTGTGGCTGGTCCATACATACAGTGGAATATTATTCTGACTTAAAAATGAAGGAAATTTGGACACAGGCCACAATGTGGATGAACTTTGAGAATATTATGCTAAGTAAAAGAAGCCAGACACAGAAGGACAAATACAGCACAATCCCCCTCCAAGGAGGCTTCTAGAATTCATAGAGACAGAGGATAGAATGGTGGTTGCCGGGGGTTGTGGGGAAGGAGGAATGGGGAAGCGTTGTGGAAGACAAGAAAAACAAGAGAGGCGAGATGGTGTTGTCTTAGGCTGCGCTTTCCCAGCAGCAGAGGTGAGACAAGGACTTGAATACAAGTAGTGTTCCTGGGAGGTAGCCTCAGGGAGCAGGAGAAAGCCTCTGGGCAGGGAAGAAATTCCCCTGGGCATATGAGAGCAGATCATCTTGGGGGTTCAGCCCTGGTGGGGACCTCCAGGAGATGGTGGTGGTATCCCACTGAGGGGATGAGGGAACCAGACCACTTATTCACCAGCTCCCACCTTTGCTGGTTGGGGTGGCGCCCCAGAGGTAGGCTGGCACAGCCGCATGGGGCGCTATTTCAGCGTATGCTCCAGGGAGCCATGAAGCATCAGAGGGAAGAGACATTCCAGCGGAGAGTGTGGTGAGGCGGCGACAGGATGCAGAGGAGGGTACTTGGGCCGTGGGAAGGGCTTTGGCGTGTGCTCTGGGGAGATGTTCTAGCAGCTGCTGGGTGGAGCATAGACTGGCAGATAGGAGCTGAAGCAGGGACCCCAGGTAGGAGGGTCCAGGAGAGATAAGAGGCACGCTTGGTCCAGCGAATATGGTGCAAAGCGACCAGATTCCAGGTTATTTTTGAAAACACTCTCAGCAACACCTTGGGCAGATTTTGAGGCTTTCTTCTTCCTTCCATTATCTAAAAAGAGTCCAGTCCAGCCCCGGATTTGGTGTGGGGTGGGGAGTGTGGTCTGCCCGTCCATCGAGCACAGTCCGGCTGGCTGGTGGGGCAGGAAGCAGAGGCTCCAGTGGGGGTGTCCACGTGCGCGTGTGACTCTGCTGGACTCTGGCTAGCCTCCCTGGCCAATGGATGGTTGAGGACCTCCACAGACGACAGCAGGGTCTCCTTTTGGCCCCAGTCAGGGAAGAGAGCCCACTGATTGGCTGATATCCTTCTGGGCAGGCCCCAGCTACTGTCTGTTCTAGCCACCTTGCTCTCGGACGTCAAGTCCACGAACAGCTGAGATTCCCTTCAAAGGTCTCCAGGGGCAGCCTGGGTGCGTGGTCCCAGTTTCTTCTTTCCGGGGATACCCGCCCTGGGCTGAGTCCCATCAGCAGGGATCACACCTGCTGTCGCCATTCCCAGGCAGGAAGCCGTCCTGCCTCCAAGTTTCCAAGGGTGCGGGAATCTCAGGGGATATGTGTTCTGCTCTCCCAAGAAAGCCCGCCTCTCTTCTGGTTTCCAGAATGGTTCTGTTGGGCCCCAAGCCTTCTCCCAAACACACCCTCCGTCCGGTAGGCTCCCCTAATTCCTGGGAGTTACTACCCTACTTGGCTTGGCCTGGAGATGAAGGGAATACCCCACACATTCTACAGGACGCTTTGGAGCCCCCACGCACCAGTCTTCCAGCGTGGACACAAAGTGGACAGGCTGCAGGGCGCTGGCAGAGGCGGAGTTGAGGCTGTAGTGTCTGCCGAGCCTTGCCTGGGATGGTTTGGTGCCCTCTTGTTGGGGCTCTACTCCACTAGGAATGTCTCTGTCCCACTCATGGCCGAGGTGCCACTCTGGGGGCATTCTGCCTGTTGTATGTGGCTGTGCTGACCCCATGTGGGTTTGGGTCACTGACTGTGGATCTGAGTGTCAGAGCGCAGGGGGCCTGGAGGGTGGAACTCAGCTGTGGGGGTGAAGCTTCTCCTCGCTCAGCAGCCTCCTACCTGCCATGGCTGGGCGACAGGCATGTGCGTTTCTGTGTGTCCCTGTGTCCGTGTGTGCGTGCGTCCACAAGTGTGCCCGCCTGCTTGTGTCTGTGTGTCTGTGAGTGTGTCTGTGAGTGTGCGTGCATACCTGCAGATGCAGGTGCCCATGCGTCTGCGCATATGCATGTGTGTGTTTACCTCTGCGTATGTGTGTGTGTCTGTTTGTGTGCATGGCTGAGTGTGTACGTGCTGGGGGGCTCTGCTGAGTCAGTGCTTGTGTTGGGCGGGCAGCACTCCCTGCCAGGCTGTGGCCTCCCCACAGTTGCATAAACACTGGTCCCAGCTCCCCCCTCAAGCAGGGTGGTCCAGACAGTGTCCCTGCAGCCGGTGGGAAGGGATGGGTGGGTGGCAAAGGGCTTGCCCTTGGATCAGCCTAGTCTCCTTCATGCCTCAGGTGCCAGGTCATGTGCCCCGTTTGGTTGGAATGTGGTCTGGGGTCTCTCGATGCCTTTCTTCCCCCATCTGGTCTGGGGCCTTATCTCTGAGGTCTCTGTGAGGAGACAAGAATATTCACCACTCCAGTCCTGGTCTAGGCAGAACCAGATGGTGAGTGGGGCAATCAGGGGACTGGGGAACCAGGGGCAGAATTCAGCCTCAGGACCCCAGAGCTAAGCAGCCCTCTCTGCACTGAGGTCTCAGCTCAGCTCAGCTCTCCGGGGCGCTTGGCAGCCTGCCATGGCTTGCATTTTCTAGCCAGACACCATCTGTAAGGATCTGGGGGCCACCACCGGGATGTGGGGCAGATAGCACTGAATGAGGGCCCAAAAAGATCAGAAATTCAGGCCGGGGCAGAATGAAGTCAGGCAGAGTCTTGAAGAAGTCAGGTATCGGAGGAAAGTCTTACCAGGTCACAAGGAGGAAGGAAGTCAAACTGGGGGCATGAGACATTGGACTCTGGGGATCAAAGCACCGCGGCAGAGAGGCTGACAGAAAGCTGATAGAGATCTTAAGAGAAACTGGGTCATGGGGGGTGGGTAGAGTAAAAGGATCTAAGTAAAGGCACATACAAAGTCAGATGTGGGGTGTTGAGAGGAGGTGGCGGAGGAGGGCGGGCAGCAAACGGAAATTGAGCAGCCCTCACCCTGTGTAAGGGGGGGTTTGGGGGTGCCAGGCCAGAGTGCTCTGCTATTGTTTCTGAGGTTTTGGGTGGTGAGGAGGGCTTAGGGGAGGGGGCGAGGGTGAGCCTGCTTGGGTACCGGGCCAGCCACACCCCAGGGAGCCCAGGCACCTCAGGGAACAGTAGGCAAACCCCAGACCTTGAACCCCAGTGACCCAGCAGAGAAGAACCTCCCTGGGGTTCTCTCAAGCCCCTTCCAACCAGCCCCAGGCCCGCCTTTGCCCAAGTTTAGGGGTTATTTGTTGCCACCCTCCCAAAGCCACACAATCCTGGTTTGCCCAAATGCTGACAGAGCACAGCTGGAATGTGGAGTGTGTGTGAGTGTGTACACGAGGCTCCCCAGGGTCACCAGCCCAATAGGCTCCTCCACTCTCAGTGGCCAGAGCCCAGGACCCCTACAACGGGGAAGGGCCTGGAAGGTCAGGACTGGGAAGGGCCCCTTCCCGCTGCTCCTCCCAGCCAGGCTGTGGATACCTGAGATCCCACCATTTTCTTCCAACCTCCAGTCTTCTCTTCTTGGGCCTGTGGATCTGGATACCTGGCATGTCTTCTGAGGCCTTGGCGAGAATGAAAGCCTTTCTGGAGAGCTGGGAATGGGGAAAGGCAGTGGAAGACTCTGCAGCTCCAGAGGTGGGGTAGACAGTGCTTCCTGGGAAGTCTCACATCTCACATCTTGGCCAACTTCTTAATTTTTATACTTTGGTCCAGTTGAACACGAGCACCCCTTTTCCCTACCACCCCTCTGCTCTGGGTCTGGAGACCTGTCTTCTCTCCTCTCAGTACCTCGTCCATCACTCCCCTCTTCATCTCTTTCCTTCTCTCTCATAGTAGGCTGGATTGGAAGCCACTTAAAGGTGCTCTAGAATGCCATCCTCAGCTCCCAGGCTAACTGGGAGAAGTACTGAGCACCCTGTCCCAAGGGGCATGCAAGCAGAGGAGAACCAATTCCAATCAGAAAGGCTGTGGAAGGGATTCTTGTTCTGCTGGAGATTGGAAGCACTTGGGTGTTTTTTGTCAAAGATTGCATTCTGCCTTATTTTATTTTATTTTTTTGCCTTAAGAATATTATTTCATTTATAAACAATGAGGATGGTAGCTGGTGGCAGTTGTTTTCCAAGTTTTAACTTGGCAAAATAAAACCTTACAAGTCCATTTTTAAGTTTTGAGGAAATCTCAGTTTGTTGCAGTAAAAAAAATCTCCCCAAATATCCAGAGAGAGGCCCTTGAATGGGACAGGTCCTTTTCAGGTTCAAGGCTCATTTGAATCAGAGGCCAACTGTGCTGTACTGTGATGACTAACAGATACCTGGCCAGTTGGGATGGAGTGGGGAGTGGAGACTTGGCAGGGGCAGCGCACATGAGCCCCTGGGACAAGCAGGCACTGGGGAGGTTGGGGCTGGGGAGGGTGGAGCACCCAAGTAAAGATGGCTCAGCTCCCTGCATTGGATATCTGGGATCCTGAGATTCCAGGTGTTCCCGATCCGCTGGATGCCCATAACTGTGCGTGCTTCTGGTGGGAAGTCAGTGTGGTAGTGACCTCGCCTCCCTTGCTGCAGCTGGGGCAGAAAGGCAAACACTGAAGGCCTTCTAGCTGGTGCACAGCAGCAGTGTGCAGGGCTGAGGGCTGAGAAGGGAAGGTGGGCACATCCCGGGAGCCTCAGGGGGTTCCTCTGCAGGGCCTGGGCTGGGCGCCCTGGAGAGGGTGACACTCCCGGACCCCACGGCTCTAGGTGGAGATGGCTCGGGCTGCTAGTAGCCAGCTGCTCCCTCTCTCAGGAGCTCAGGTTCTGTGCATTCCCTTCCCAAAAGGGGGCCTTGGTCTGGAGGGTAGAGCTGGAGGTGAGGGACACCTCCAGGCTTGCTGTGGCTCCACGGTAACATGGCAGAGTGACTCCGACCGTCCTGGGCAGCTGAGGATCCAGCCGTCAAGTCCTGGACTCAGGGTGGAACGGCCTGGCTCTAGGGTCAGCAGGGGCAAAATGGTGAGAGCGTCAAGAGTGACCTTGAAATTCAGTCCGCAGCACCCCTAGGTTGCCTGCCCTGCCTGGGCTCCTGCCTGGGTCTCCCATGTGGTCAGAGTCTCCCTCCTTGGAGGAGGCCCTGACCCCTCAGCTGCCTTCCTCCCCTGACTCTCGCAGGGCCCATTTAACTCATCACTGCACAGTGACCACGCATCTACTGTGCTCCCTGCGCTTCACCAGGTGCCAGGAACTTGTAGTGAACTAAGACAATTCCTTGGCCGGGTCAAACTCTTGCTCTGGCCCAGCTGCTGTGGCCTATGATTTCAGACCTGAGTGAGCAGGGAGGGACCCTGATTCCATTTATCTGTGCCTGCCGGCCCGACTCCGACCTCAAAGTTGGGCAGGAAGGGGCCTCAGACGTCCGAGCCAACATCTGTTCCAGGGCAAGTCTGATGAGCTGCTGCTTGCTTGAATACCCCCAGAAACAGGGAGCTCACTCCCTGCTGAGCCCTCTTAGCCAGGCAGGCAGCTCTCTGACGTAGGGCCAAAACCTATCCAGGCCTCTCTAGTTCTCAGAAACTGGGTCCTTAGAAGTGTCCCCCATCCCACCTGACCCTTCTGTGATTCACTAGGCTGACCCCAGTCTTGCTATTCTCTAGGTTGATCCCTTGCTCCAGGATGGGCCTTGCCCTCTGTAAGACTGCTGAGCCAGTGGGGGGTCAGTTTTCTTGGGCCCTGAGAACTGTCCGAACAACTGCTCCAGGTGCCATAAGGCAAGGGCTGTTTCTGCACCACAAAGGGCTCTGAGGTCACCTCTGCGGAAGGTGGCCTGGAGGGGTGAATCCAGGCAAGGAAGCCAGTGTTGTGGGAGAGGGGGGGTCCCCTGCAGGCTGCTCTAGGGCTTCTTCTTTGGGCCTCAGTTTCCCTCCTATGTGGGGCTGGAGGTGTGGGAAACTCTACTGTTCTGAGCCCTGGAGAGGCTACTTCTGGAGTCTGAGCTTCGAGCTGGGGGGCTTAGGGGCAGTCAGGAGCAGGGGTGGGAGGGTGCGGATTGGGATAGGGGAGGCGACAGCTGCTTGGAAATGTGGAGAATAATAAAGCAAGGAATGTCTGAGCTCAGGGGAAAAAATAACCCCCACCCACTGGGCCTCCCACCCTGCACATAATGAATTAAGTACAGGGAGCCACGTTTCATGTGGGGGTGCTGGCTGGGGGAGACTAGAAGGCCCCTAATGAGAAACAGGGTCCTCGACTGGGGGTTCGAGGTCATCTAAACCAACCCCTGGGGGTGCTCTCACTCCCCAGAAGCTTCCTCTCAACCTCCCTCTGTCTGCATGGGGGAGGGGCTGGGGGTCCCGCCCCATCTCCACGCTGACCCCTGATAAGGGGCTGCACCCCAGTGCTGGCCCTGAAAGACCAGAAGGGGCAGCTGGTGTGGCTGACTTGGATGGATCTTCTCATCCTCACCCTTCTGCAAGCATTTACTGAGTACCTGCTGGGCAGGTGTCTCCTGCCTGCAGGATGGTGGGGTCAACACTGCCTCCCTGCTGGACCGATCAAATCCACGGAGCCCGCCAGCTTCCAACCAGCAAGCCCCCAAGCCCCAAGTCACTTCCTGTCTCCAGTCTCCACAGCCCTTCCCCTTGCTCTGCAGATTGCTGTTTCCTGTGGCCTCACCCCTGTCCACTCCTATGTTCCTGGCCCCAGCTCAGTACCACCCCTGGAGCCTTCACCAGGGCTTGGACCTCAGCAGCCCTGGGTCCAGCTCTGCCTTTCCAGACCACCAGTCTGGGGCATTTGGCTTTTTTATGGGTCACCAGCCCCTCCCTCCTCTCCCTCCCTCCCCAGTAAACTTAATGTTCCCCCAACAAGGTCTACACTCGCCATCTTCATACTGTTCCTTCTGACTGATGGACCCCCATTCACCTACTCCTCAAGACTGCTTTCTTAAAAAAAACACCCGTTTCCAGAGGGGCCCAGGGAACAGTGGGTAAGTGAGTAAACTGTCAGCAAAAGGGTAGACGCACAGAAAGGGAGCTGTAGAGGGTGAAGTCAGGTAGGCATGTTTCTAAGGCTCCCCAAGGATCCTGGCCTCTCAGCCTCTGCCAGCTTGGAGCAAAGACCCCATTTTATTTTTAAGAAGTCTGATCAGGGCCTTGGAACTTGCAGTCTTCTCCCCCAGTATCCCTTCTCTCCCCCACCCACTGTAATTAAAACCATTGTTTTCCAAGCACATGTTAATTAAAAAGCAAACATGTTTTGCTAAGTAATTTGGAAGCTCTGGTTATGCAAACCAGAGTCATTCCAGTTAAAAAAAAAAAAAATCTCTCACCCAGCTGGCCCCAGTGTCCTGGGAGCTGAGGACCCTTGGGGACACAGTAGATGCACAGCCCTTTACAGTTTACATTCCCTTGGAGGCCTAGCCAGGGCAGGATGTCCTCAGTGTTTCACAGGTGGCAACACACTGCCGTTACGGAGGCCCAGAGCTCCTAGCAAGCCCAGCATCACCAGCCCCCTGCAAATGTGTGCTTTGGGCCCAGGGAGCAATAGTGAGGAGGCTGACTGACCCCTGTGCCCCGTCCTGCGGGCAGGGTCTTTGTTTCTGAGCCTCTGCCCAGCTGTGGGGTGAGGAGAAGAGGATGTGGGCATGACAGAGCTTCGAGCCCAGCCAGGAAGGCTGGCGGGTGCTGGGCCACCTCCTCAAGTTTCCAGCACAGCTGGCACGACGACCACCCAAAGCTGGGACAGCAGGTCCCTGAGGCGAGGGCCCAAGGGAAGGATCAGCCTGATGGGTTAGGGGAACCCTGGATGCTCAGAGGTGCCTGCTCCAGCCCCAGCTTCCCCCTCCGTCTGGTGTTGCCCATAAGTGTCCCCACCCTGACTCCTGCACCTGGGAGTCCTGGGGTCCCCAGCCCCTTCACATCCTGGGTAGTATCCTCAGAGCCCACTGTCGCGAGCTGGAGCCCCCAAGATGCAGGGTTCAGTGACCTCCAGGCTCTCCTGCTCCCTTTCCCTGGCAGAGATGGGGGCGTCTCACCAAGAGGCCCCTCCAAAGCTTGTCACCACTTTGCAACCTGCCTGTTGGCCCTCCCAGTGTAGGGGAGCCCTGCCAACAGAAAGTTTTTCCTGTGTAGTGTGTGCTCCACGGACGAGTCTGGACCTACGCGTGTCACTGTTCACCAGGGTTCTGTGTGAAGCAGTCTCTCCCTGCTTCCTGAAGGAAACGAATGCCAAGGTCCTGTGGGGATCCGGGTGGGCAGGGGATGGGGCAGGGACCAGGAAGAATGTCTTATGGAGGGAAGGAACCCTGCCCCCTGGCCACCTCTGGCACTGACCCCGGCACTGTGGGACACGATGGGCCGGCTCATGCCTGGCACACACGCGCGCACACACACACACACACACACACGGACACGGACACAGGCTGAGGGGCGGGGCACCTGGAGTCATAGCCATGTGTCACCCAGCCGGCCCTCCCCTCTCACCCCTGCACTCAGGCTTCTTTTCTGTAAAATGAGTATGTGCTGTGATGTGTGCAACTTATCACAGGCAATGTCTCTCCTGCGGGGACACACACATACCGCCGCCCCGGCTCACACCCACATCTCACACACACGCGCGCACACACACACATCACACACACATCACACGCACACTGCCGCCGCTCCGGCTCACACCGACATCCCGGGAGGAGCTCGGCTCCCGCCGCGCTCCCCCGGGGGGCCAGCGGCGCGGAGCTTCTGTGTTCTGCTCCATCCGCCGCGCCTGGAAACCGCAGCGGGCCGGCCGGGATGAGCTCACGCCGCCGCCGGCCGCCCAGGTCTAACGCGCTCCAGATGCCCGGCGGCCGGCGGCCTGCGCCCGGAGCGTGGAGGACGGCCCTCTGGCGCCCCCTGCAGGGCCCGGCGTCTCGCGGCCGAGCGGTCGCCCGCGGGACGGGGGGCGGGGCTGCGCCCGGAAGGGGCGGGGCTTAGCCCCACCCGCCCGCGTCTCGGGCGCAGCCGGCTCCCGGAGTTTGGAGCCGAGGTCCCGCTACAGCGAAGCCCGTCACGTCTGCCTCGCGCGCGGTGTCCCGGCCCCTGACCCAGCGGCCATGTGCTGGGTGGCAGTCCCCTTACCGGCTGTCTTCGCCAAGACGTGGGAAGCCAGCCCCCCACCTCACCCCCCGTTCCTCAGGCCCGCCTGGACCCTCCGCCAGGTACCGCGGCTCTGGCCCCCGCGCGGCGGCCCTGCCCACTCTTGTTCCTCTTGGAACAAACAGCCTAGTTTCTACTGGGAAAGCAGCAGGGGCCTGACCACCGCCTGTTTTTAATAAGGAGCTGGTATTTCCCCGAAATCGCGGCCCCGTGGCTGACCTCACGGGGATGACGGCTGGCGGTGGGCCAGCGAGCCGCCTCAGGGTGAGCCCCTGACGCCTGGCCTTGCAGAGAGGAGAGGTTCTGGTTTCCAGCCCCGGCCCAGCGGCTGGCTCATCCAAAAATCTGTCCCCCCGTCTGTCTGCCGTGTTGTGCACCCCAGGCCAGTGCTGCCAGCGCCCCTCCTCCTTAGCCCTGCCCAGGGTCCCTCTTCCCTCCTGCCTCCTTGTGTGGTCCTGGCAAGCTGCTTAACCTCTGACCTCTCATTTCCTCCCCTGTAGGATGGGGCTGTTGTGGGATTAGAGAGGGGACCCGAAAGGGGGAGCAAATGGACCCCAGGAACAAGTAATTTCCAGAGGGCTGGAGGCGGGGACTCTCAAGAGCTAAGGGGCCAAGGGTCAGGTCTAGGTCTTCCTGGAGCAGAGTTGGGGAGGTGAAGGAAGGGCCTGCGGGGAGAGAAATAGGGCAGCACAGATGTCCTGGTGGAATGGCAGTGTTCAGTGAAGGGCCAGCATAGAGGGCTGGGGACACCCCGTGAGGGAAGGGGGTCAGGAAAGGCTTTGCAGAGGAGAAAGCGAAGAGTGAGGTGCAGTTAGTCAGGCTGAGAGATGGGGGGCCAGAATACTTAGGCAGTTAAGAGGTGGGGTGGGGGCCAGAATGGAGAGTGGAACCAGACAGGTGGGTCCCCGGCGTCCCTGGCAGAGAGTGGGGACTCTGCTAGAGGCATTGGAGGGGGCGAGGGCCCCGGGAACTGGTCCTGAAGCCCCATCTGTAGCTGAGGGACAAAGAGAGCCAGAGGAGGACACAGATTTCAGTGGACGGACAGGAACCCTCTGGGGAGCTGGGAGACAGAGAGAGGGATTGTAGCAGGTGGATAGCTGAGCAATGGATTTATCTGGTGGCTGAAAGATTTGTTTGCTTGGGGCTTACACTTTCTGGATGCTTGGGCCCCCGCTGAAAGGAACAACAGTAACACTAATACCCAGCAAAGCATGTGCCAGACAGTGCTCTGATCTCTTACAGGTGCCTGATCTCAACTCTGCTCATTTCTCTTCACCAGAGTTTTATTCATTCGGTTGTTCATTTAACAGATGTTTATCGAGTGCCTGCTGTGTGCCAGCCCTGTTCGGGTGCTGGGACTCCAGCAGTGACAAGACAGATAGAAACCCTGTCCACAGAAAGTTTACACATGAAAGGAGAAGACAGCCCACATATAGAGTAAAGCGTATAGTATTTCAAATTGTGAGACGTGCCACAGAGAAAATTAGAGGATAAGGGTGATCAAGAGGGAAGAGTAGAGGGGCATACTTTTTGAGAGGATGTCCTGGGAGAGCCTCAGTGAGGAGGAGACGTTTGAGTAAACCCCAAATCTGGTTCACCACCTCTTAGCCGAGAATAGTTTTTCCAGAAGAGCATTTGCAATCATTTCCATGATAGGGAACACTAATTTTGATGCTATCCCCTAAAGAATTCCATTCTTCTTAGTAGACCTGTATTACCCCAAACCAAAACCAAAAAAAAAAAAAAAACCAAAACCCAACCCCAAAAAACAAAAGAAACCAGTACTCAGTTCTGGTTTTGTATTGAATTCCATCAGTATAGATTTCTGTGGAAATTCATTTTCTTTTTTGTTATCTAAGTACCTGAATATGCTAGACTTTTGGCTCTCAATCCACAAAGCCCAAGATATTTACTATCTGGCCTTTTACAGGAAAAATTTACTGATCCTGGTATAGATCCAAGAGGTGAGGAAATAAGCTGTGTGGTTATCTGGGGCAGAGGGAACCACCAGTGCAGAGGCTAGGAGGCAGGAGCTAGTGAGGCACCTAAAAGAGGCCAGTATGGTTGGAGCTGTGTGAATGAGGAAGAGAGCGGTAAGAAAGGGTCAGAGATCCAAATGAACTTACAAAACAAACAGACTCGCAGACTAGAGAATGAACTTACAGTTTCCAGGGAGAAGGATGGGGGAAAGGATAGGGAGTTTGGGGTTGACATGTACACACTGCTATATTTAAAATGGATAACCAACAAAGACCTACTGTGTAGCATGTGGAAGTCTGCTCACTGTTATGTGGCATCGTGGATGGGAGGGGAGTTTGTGGGGAGAATAGATAAATGTATATATATGACTGAGTCCCTTTGCTGTTCACCTGAAATTATAACTTTGTTAATTGACTATATCCCAATACAAAGTAAAAAGTTAAAAAAAAAAAAAGATTGTAGGAACACAGGCAGATGGTGCAAAGCCTTGTGCCAATTCCTAGGTATTTTTTTAAAAAATGTGTGTGGCTATCTTTAATGCAATATCTTTTTTTTTTCTATTACATTTTCTAATTTATTATTGCTGCAGAGAGAAAGTTATTGATTTTGTATATTGATCTTTTCCCCCAGCCTTCTTAGTTTGTTTTTGTATAGTTTTATTAATTTTTCAGGTGGTTTGTTTGGATTTGTTTTAGAAAGCGATTATATCTTCCACAAATGATGCATTTTGATTTTCCGGTGTATAAATAGCTTAGTTTCTTCCATTCTTTCCCTCCCTGCACTCCCCTCTGCTTGCCTCCCTACTGTATTCCCTTACTTCCTTTCCCCTGTCCACAATGCACAGGGTTTCAGTTTCTTCACATCCTTACCAACACTTGTTATGCTCTGTGTTGTTGATTTTAGATTGTTTATTTTTAGCCATCGTAATGGGTATGAAGTAATATCTTGTGGTTTTGATTTGTATTTTCCTAATGATTAGTGATGTTGGGTAAAAGACATGATGTCTTTTCATGTGCTTACTAGCCATTTGTGTATCTTCTTTGGAAAAATGTCTATTCAATTTCTATGTTCATTTAATTTTAATTGGAGGATAATTGCTTTACAAAGTTGTGTTGGTTTCTGCCATACAATAATGTGGATCAGCCATAAGTATGTGTGTATACACATATATACACACACACACACACACATATATATATATATATATACTTCCTCTTGAGCCTCCTTCCCACCCTCCCCATTCCACCACCTATGTTGATTTTTGGATTGGGTTGTTGGGGCTTTTGTCATTGAGTTGTAGGAGTTCTTTATGTGTTGTGGATATTAATCCCATATCAGATATATGATTTACAAACATTTTCTCTCTTTCTGTGGATTATCTTTCAACCCTACTAATAGTGTTCTTTGTAACACAAAAGTTATTTTGATGAAATCCAGTTTATCTGGTTTTTGTGTGTGTGTGTCTATGCTTTTGGAGTCATATCCAAGAAATCACCATCAGATCCAACCTCATGAAGATGTTCTCCTCTGTTTTCTTTTAAGAGTTTTATGGTTTTAGCTCTTACATTGAGGTCTTTGGTCCATTTTGAGTTAATTTTTGTATATTGTGTAAGGTAAGGGTCCAACTTCATTCTTTTGCATGAGGATATATAGTCTTACCAGCACAGTTTGTTGAAAATACCATCCTCTTTTCATTGAACGTTCTTGACACCCGTGTTGAAAATCATTTGACTATATATGTGAGGTGTTTTTTTTCCTGAGCTCTGTTCTGTCTTCCTATTCTTCAATATAGGATGCCTTTCTGTTTAAATCTTTAATTTCCTTAAAGGAAGTTTTTGTAGCTTTCAGTATACTTTCACCTTCTTGGTTAAATGTATTTCTAAGTATTTTATCCTTTTTGATATAAATTGCAAATGGACTTGTTTTCTTAATTTCCTTTTTTTAACCCTAATTTCATTTATTTTAAAAAATGAATTTTAGCGAGGTGTATTTTTAAGTGCAGTAAATTTAAATTGCACATATTTGGCTAGCTTTGAGAGAGATATATATTTGTAAAGCCACAATAATCAAGATGCAGAACAATTCCATTCCCTGTAAAAGTGCCCTGTGTCCCTTCACAGTTCATTCTGCCCTCTGCCTCTGGCCCAAGGCAACCACTGCTCTGCTTCCTGTCACTAGTATTTGGCTTTTGTTGTTTTTACTGGGTCATTTGTCTTTTTATAGAGTTGTAAGAATTCTTCATGTGTTCTGGGTACAAATATTTTGTCCTATAGATGTATTGCAAATATTTTCTTTCAATTTCTGCCTTGAATTTTTCATTCTTTCAACAGTAGTTTTCAAAGAACAGAATTTTTTAATTTTGATAAAGTCCAATTTATCAATTTTTCTTCTATCAATTGTTTTTGTGTCTATTTCACAAAGGGGCTTCCCCAGTGGCTCAGTAGGTAAAGAATCCGCCTGCAATGCAGGAATCACAGGAGACACAGGTTCCATCTCTGGGTGGGAAAGATCCCCTGGAGAAGGGAATGGCAGCGCTCTCCAGTATTCTTGCCTGGAGAATCCCATGGACAGAGGAGCCTGGCGGGCTGCAGTCCATGGGGTCTCAAAAGAGTCAGACATGAATGAGTGACTAAGCACGCATTACTTCACAAAAGTATTTGCCTACTTCAAGGTTACACAGATTTTGCCCTTATAATTTTTTTCTAGGAGTATTAAAATTTTTATTTATTTATTTTTGGCTGTGCTAGATTTTTGTTGCTGTTCGGGCTTTCTCTAGCTGCAGTTTGAGGACTTCTCACTGCGGGGGCTTCTCTTGTTGCTGAGCACAGGCTCTAGGGTGCCCGGACTTCAGTAGTTGTAGCGCGTGGGCTCTAGGGCACAGGCTCAGCAGGTGTGGCCCACGGGCTTAGCTGCTCCATGGCATGTGGGATCTTCCTGGACCAGTGATTGAACCTATGTCTCCTGCATTGGTAGGCGAATTCTTTACCACTGAGCCACCAGGAAAGCCCCTTATTGTGGCTTTCTCATATATGGCCTTCATCATATTGAGGAGGTTTCTTTCTATTCTTAGTTTACTGATTTTTTTTTTTTTAATCACGAAAGAGCGTTGAAAAGTGAAAGTGAAGTCGCTCAGTCGTGTCCGACTCTTTGCGACCCCATGGACTGTAGCCCACCAGGCTCCTCCATCCATGGAATTTTCTAGGCAAGAGTACTGGAGTAGGGTGCCATTTCCTTCTACAGGGGATCTTCCCGACCTGGGGATTGAACCTGGGTCTCCCTCATTGCGGGCAGATGCT